GGGGCTCCTGGCCTTACTACTAGGAACAAGGACGCTACTAGGAACAAAAGTTTCCACATCCGGGTTCGTCTTGAAGGTCTGGAAGTGTGCTTGCCGACTCTTACAGAGTGAAAAACGAAAGCAGCACTTCCCTCTGAAACGAGGTGAACCAAACACCTAAAACCACCTTGTTGCTTCCAGGCCTCTTTTCTGTTCGTGCCAGTTGATCATATCTACTACTAGAAACAAGAATGTACTTTTTCTCAACTTGTGGTGTCTTCATTCAAGTATTTGGAGCTTTTCTTTTTCTTCATTTCTTTCCTTCCTTTTGAAAGACTGCATGTATTCCCTGTCAGCGTATTTCCCTCTCTTCCGTGGCCTTGACTCCTAGCTCCTCCATGCCCTGACAAAAGGGAGTGTCCGAGGCTTTTTGAGGCATGGCATAGCGTCCCTTCATTGAGAAGCCTCAAGAAATCTGCAACATACCATTGAATCATACGACAAGTCTGTAGGAGCAAGGACGGTACGAACGGGGCTCCTGGCCTTACTACCAGGAACAAGGACGCTACTAGGAACAAAGGGCATCGCTACGAACGGAGCAAGGAGGCTACGAACGGGGCTCCGATGTCCGAGCAGCTGCAATGGCTCGGAAATTCATTGACATACCTGGCAGCCGCTGGCTAAACATGCCGCCACCCCTTTGACGGCGTCTTTAGGCCCCTTGTCACAATGGTCTTTGGGGTCGTGTTTTGCATGGGCCAAACATGACTTCTCAGAAAATCGCGAACAGAACGCAGCAAGACTGGAGACATCAAACGCACAGTATGTGAGCAAAGCATTGCAATTCGAAGTGGGTTGCAAGAAGCCACCAAAACAGCGTTGTGTGTCCAACTTCCCAATTCCAACTTCCCAAGGGTTTGGGATGTATGATATGCGGGGTTAATGAAAACTAGTAGCAGTAGCAGTAGCAGCAGCCGTAATGGCAATGGCCTCCACCCCAGTAGCGATGGCCTCAAACCTAAACAGAACAAATACACTTGTTATGTCTTAGAAATGCCCCATGGCTGATTTTACTTCGGAGAACTAGTCCAAAGTCAAACACCGAACATGGCAACACTCGTCGCCTTGACAAAGCGCTCTCCTCCTTCAAGTCCTTCTTGTTCATACAGCTTGACTGCAGAAATCGTGCAACCCACTACGTTATATTCCTTTCTTTCTTTGGGAATCGTTTCACCTGTAGTAACAAGAAGCTCTTTAGTATGTCTTTGAAGCTACTAGGAGCAAGGTCGCTACTAGTAGGTCTTTGAAGCTACTAGTAACAAGAAGCTACTAGGGGCTCCTGGCCATACTACTAGGAGCAAGGACGCTACTAGGGGCTCCTGGCATCGCTACGAACGGAGCATTCTTTCTACTCGTAAAAAGTAGATTCCTTTGCTAGTAATTACAATTCTAATTAAATTCTTATTGTTACTACTAGTAAGACACTTGTTACTAGAAGCGAGGCACTTGTTTCTAATGCACTTTGCTTGGGTTCGCCCATGTGGCCTCGCCAGCAAAACTGCAATGGTTGAAGGGATGGAAGTCTTTGGTCGCAATGATCAAGGACCCAGCAGCCTCCAAAATCAACAAGCAGCGATTACAAAATCAACAAGTCACGTCAGGTTCCACTATGCAGCGAATAGAGTGAAAGCTTTTCAGGTCAAGTGATGCCCCTCCGGCTTTGGATTTCTACCTAGAGACTACAGTCTGAATGAATCTACAATTTCACCCATTCCAAGGTTTTCGCTATTAGGTTGGAGGACATTGCTGTTAGGTTGGAGGACATTGCCTTTAGGTTGGAGGACATTGCTGTTAGG